ATACATAGATGATGTTAAAATGTTGTCAAAGTATCATTATCCAACTTCAAAGGTAGTGAATAAACAATAATGTTGTTTTACTTTCCCAATGTTGTGGGTTTAAAAGAAAGGATAGTGATTTGACAACAATTTTTTTAACAACATTTTAACATCATCTACGTGTCATTTTTTGATTGGTCCAAAATTATTCTACAATCAATAATAATAATCATAAACACCAACATGGACCTATCACATAATGACACGTAGATGATGTTAAAATGTTGTCAAAAAAATGTTGTCCAAGTATCATTATCCAAAATTACTCCACAATCAATAATAATAATCATAAACACCAACATAGACCAATCACAAAAAGACACGTAAATGGTGTTAAAATGTTGTCAAAAAAATGTTGTCAAAGTATCATTATACTAAAAGAAATAATGATACATGTATATTGCCAGTGAAGCAGCTTAATACGAACACGAACAGCCTCAAACCCCAACTTCATCGCAATTTAACCATATTTTTTGTCATTCTCTTTTTTTCCAAAAGTTTTTTTTACGTATCTGAGATTGACAGTTACTCAAAATACATTGTTTAAGTGACGTGCTACACTACCCAAGCAACAGCTAATCACGTAAACCAAAATGTCTTGTTTATTTTAACCAAGAACACATTGTCCTAATGAAGGACAAAATATCGCTAAAGTGACAAAGGAATCAAATGTACCATTTAATTATAGATTTAATTATTCTGATAATTTTTATTTATGTTGGATTTTTTTTTTCAAAGTATTTGGTGAGAGAAGTTTTAATATTATAAAATTAGAATAAATATGTTTTCAATTTTTTAACTTTAAATAAAATTTAAAATTAATTCTTTTATGAAATTTTTGACTAATTTAATTTATAATTTTTGGAACTTTGTAAATTTAATTATTTTAATTAAATTTTGTTAATTGTTTTTTTATATTTTAAATATATTTTCAATTAATATTAAAGTAAAAATATGTCAGAATCAGTAAAATCCAAACACGTATCGTTAGTGGAATTCACGTGTCAAGAGGAAGGCTCGACACTCAGGTGAAGAACGACAGGTGTAAAGCAAAGGAGACCCGGGAAATCAGTTAGTGGAAAGCAGGTGTCGACTGAAGAAGGGACGTTCGTTGTGACGTGTGCAGCAAAACTTGGATTTTCAAAAAATCTGCTCCACTCTCTACAGGCACCCTCTTTTCACGTTTCTGAAGAACCTCATTTTCTCCTCCTTCTCTCTACCTCCTCTTCATCTTCTCCCTGAGTAAACACTCACTTTCTCTTCTCCGATCTCCGTTCAGGCACCGTAGGAGCACTTCCGGCGTCCCAAGCTTTAGTTTGATCCGATTGGTTTCAAATTCTGAACGGGTAAGTTTTCCTTGTCTTTAACCGTTCGTTCTTGAAAACATGCAAACCAAGTTCTGGTTGCATGGGTCCTTAGTTTCATTCTGAACGAGTTTGGACTGTTGTTTTATTTTGGTTCGAAGAGTTGTTGAGCGTTGAGGGTAGAAAGAATCGTAGTTCGGCAAACTGAGTCTCAGTATGTAGGACGTACGTTCACGCTCAGAGATAAGGGAAGCTTATCTAATTTAATTGTATGTTGTTGTACGTTCGTTGATAATGAATGCTTGTTGATGAATGGTTGAATGTATGTATCAAGTATGAATACTGATATGGTGGTTGATGTGGAATATGATTTCTTGGTATGATATGGATTGTATGAAGTAATCAAATTGATTATGATTAGAATTTTATAAAGTTATGAAACTATGTATTGAGAAATGAATTGAATATAAATGAAATCTGAATATGTATTCCCCATGATAGTGTATGTTCGTAACTGAACGGTCTTTGACCGTTCGGTTCTTCTGGTAAATATAGTTGAAATGAGATTCTTTCATTTGGAGAGATTCCTAGTTGAGGACGAGCGTCCTCGTGTGGTAATACTATGCTTGAGCGTTCGGCCAAGCACAGTTGTATCTGGGTATCCTGTAAGAAACTAAATTTCTATATGTAACGGTATATTTTGTTGTTCGTAAACACTGCTTCGATAGTATCTTATTATATTTATTAAGCCTTTTATTATAAGTTCATTAGTGCTCGGTCTTACACCAAGCGCTCGTTCTCGTTTCTTATATAATTTATTTTGATGCAAAGTAGCGTTTGTCTAAATAAAATATTCTCCTTCACCGTGCTCGGTCATTGACTGGCATTCGGAATTCTTGATGTAAATTTAAATAAGCTAAATATTCTTAAGCGTTCGGTTTCTTCAGGTGAATCCTTTTAAGTATTCTACTATGAAAGTCTTGAAGTATATACGTCCATTTGGTTCCGGCTTAGAGCTTTAGTATTTAGCCTAGTTCTTTCTGCGTTCGGTTAGAACTCTCAAGGGTCAGTTCATCTAATTGACTCACTTTGTAAGTAACGTCCGTTCTAGTCATTCTTGCGATATGTAGTTGACCTCGGTTTCTTTCGTAATTCGATAGTAACCCTCTCGGTCTTATTCTATTCTGGAACTGGAGACCTCTCTGTCTCGTTCCAAGTGTTCGTCCTCGTTCTGAGTGAGGATTGAACGTTCGGTATCGAGTATCCGTGAGAATTTTTGAACAAAGATGAAATTTAACTTATTGGTAATGAAAGATGAATTTGAGAAAAATGATAATGAAAGATGAAATTGAGAATGATTATGAATGAAATAGGAAGAGAATGTGATATGAATGAAATGATGTGGATTTGAACGAGCGTTCCAGGGAGGAACGACTCGTGGATGAATATTGGAATTGGTAAATTATGACTGTGGGCATGCTAATGCTGGCAGTTCATCTTGATGTTCCGTGAGTACTCGTCCTCACGTAGAGGAGGGTAGGTCATGTGTGGGAACGGCAGGAGGTCCTAGTCCTTAGGGGTACTTTGGACGGAATGGACTAACCTCGGGTGGCAGCTGATGAGAGTATTCCAGTTACTACATCACCCGGGTGCATGAACGCCTGTAGCTACGCAGATTTCATACAGTCCGGACAGTCAGTTTAGTGATAGGCTTTGTGTAATACATACGTTGAAATTTATTTGGTGTTGAATTATTTGAAATGTATGTTTATGCATGAATTAAATTACATAAGCTTACCCTGTGTTTCCTGTCGTGTCTGGTTTTGTACGTCCGTCCTTGTCATTGCAATGATCATCCGTGTGGATGTGAGCAGAAGGAGTCGAGTTGTTGGATAAGGCGCTGGAAGAAGAAAATTTGGAAGAAATCGAAGTAAAGACCGGAGAGTAGGACGTTCGGGCAATAGTCTAGTTATAGTAAGGTGGACGTCCGCTCACCTTTCCTTTTGTTTAAGTATGAATGATCGGTATTGTTATTTTGTAAACCGGTCGCATAGTTTGGGTAGTGAGGTACGACTTTAATTTGTAACTCTTTCTGTAAGGCCGTTCGGCCATGAGCGTACGCTCGTCTCTAGTGTAAGACTAATCTGGATTATTATTAATGTAATTATTCTATCATATGGTTTATTGCTGTATTTTTGGGATGTTACAAAATATATTAAATTATGTAAACAATTCATTTGTCATTATGAAATATATAAAATTTAGTTAAAATAATTAAATTTATATATTTATAAAATTAGAAAACTAAATTAAAATAAAATTTTGAAAATAAATTATTTTTAATTTTTACTAAAAATTAAATGGCTAAAAACATATTTATCTTTACGAAAATTCTATAAGTATTTGATTAAACAAAATGTGAGTTTTGAATTTGTAGGAAAACCATATTAAAGTTGTAAGTCTCTCGTGAGATGAGATTTAATATTATACATTTTATTTTCATGGTTTTGTTTTCTTTTAACTTATTTCATATGCATATTTTGAATTTTATAATAATCATGTTTTAATATGTGAACTCACCATTTTGCATGTTTAACAAAGAATATTAACTTACTAGTTATAATATATTTATTTTACATTTTAAAGTTTTAATTTCAAGTTGTTCTTGAAATATTGTCTATAATACATGATATTGTGAGACCTATATTTATAGATATTTTATGTTTCAGTATATGTATGCATATATTTTAGACCTTGATAGTTATTCTAGTTTAACGTGAATATTTAAATATTTAGTAAAGAATACTAAATAATTTAAAGAAAAAAAATGTCAGAATCCTCAGATAAAGATTTTATATTAGTTCCTGTTATTTGAATCTTACAAATACCACTACATTTTAATCCATGTAACAAGTATTCTTAGCATCTACTTTTAACAAAAATAATTCAATTATTTGTTTACTTACTTTTTCAGACATTTTTTTAAAATAATAATAAAATAAAGATTATTTCAAAATCTAACACTACCATCTTTACACCTAAACACTTCAGGAAAAAGAAAATAGGACCTTTGTATATGTATGTATAATGTATAAAATATAATATTTAAATAAATTATATAATATGAAATCAATAATTTAAATTTCCAAGAAGATTAATCCAAGATTATATAATTATTATCTTCTGAAAGATATATATATATTTTTCTTCTAAAACATCTTTTTGAAAAACTAATAATATTATTATTTATTGAATACTTTAATGTATGTATTTGAATAAAATTTTATAGATAACTATAGCTATTAATATTTACTTTTAAATTTGAGGAATTAAAATGTTTCTTTTCTAAATTTGAGAATTAAATATTTCAAAATTTACCGACTACAAATATAATTAAATTAAGTAATAGTGATGTTTTTGTTTTAAATATTTTAGACTAAATTTTTTAGTATTTCATTCATAATTCTTTAGAGTAAACAATCAATTTAGTTTATAAATTATATTTTCCTATCTTTTTAATCACTACAATTTTAAAAAAATCAAATTAAACTTTGAAACATTGAAGAATTAAAACAAATAGAACTAATTTTTGGAAAATAAATTAAACCTTAGAATATTTGAAGACCGTATCTATTTAAGTTTTTCTTAGTTTGAGACAGTAACATCAACAAAACGCACATACACAGCAAACCAAAGAAAAACCCTAAACTAAACCCTGTGTTGTTGCTTGCAAAATCAATGGCGAAATCATCAAAACGCAGCAGCAGTGGCAACAACACTGACTCGAAGAAGAAGAAGAAGAAGAGCAAGAAATCAGGTCCCGAAGGCGTAGCCATGAAAGTGAAGGCCAAAAGCAGCAAGAGCACTGGCGGCGGGAGTGGCAGCAATCCCTTCGAGTCGATTTGGTCGCGCCGGAAATTCGAGGTGCTGGGTCAGAAGCGGAAGGGCGAGGCCCGCCGCATGGGACTGGCCCGAACCCTGGCAATCCAGAAGAGGAACAACACTCTCTTGAAGGAGTACCAGCAAAGTGCAAAATCATCGCTCTTCGTTGACAAGCGAATTGGAGAGAATGACCACGCACTGGACGAGTTTGGGAAAGCCATCTTGCGATCCCAACGTGAACGTCAGGTTCTGGATAATTTATTTTTATTTTGTAGAGACTCAGAAAATAAGTGGATACCTGTGAAAAAATGATTAAGTTTAGTTTTGGTACAGCGTAGACGATGACATCCTGTTAATATTACTGGTTTTTAATGTAGTTATGGTACTATTCGAGAACCTTAGCTTTGGAGGAGTGCTGGCTACATATTTTGGTTAAAAGACATTCAAGCAAAAATTTTTAAACGAGTGAGAAACTCACTAAAGGCTATGATTTTAATGGATTTTTGTTAATGAGAGAATAAGTGTTTACGAGAGTGATCTTGAAGATTGGGTTGCGAGTATTTTTTTTTTTCTTTTGCACGCATAGATGGTAATGTAAATTTTGTTGGCGAGTCTCATCAACATGTGCTAGTTAAAATTCCTTCAAGTAAGACTTTTTTATATAAGAAGTTAGAGACACAAAAGTTTGTTATTTTGAAGAAGTTTTAACTAATGACGGAAATTGAGTTAAAGTGAATATGTCAGAGATTGTGCTGTAAGCATTTTTCTTTAGCATTCATGAATGGATGACAGTGTAAAAAAGTTTTGAGAAGTTCTAGTAACGCACTGTATGTTAGAGTTTTTGTTAGCATCTGTCCGATGTTTTATACTTTTCAGTGTATTTAATTTAATATTAGTATTTTGTAAATTTATTTTAGAATAAATAGCACAAGCAATGGTGATGGATTACAATGTTTTCCAATCATAAACTGCCTATATGTTGCAAGTATGTTGGTGTTTATCATAATTATATTAGAATTCATATGAATTTTGATTAGTTGGCAGTGAAAAAACTATTTTTTTTTAGTTTAACTCATTGTTGCTGATGTGCCATTACTTATTTATTTCTTTGGGTGTTTATAGTTGAACATGAAGCTGAGTAAGAAAAGCAAGTATCACTTGTCAGATGGAGAGGAAGATGATTTTGAGGGAATTGATTCTCTTGGAAGAGATGATTTTGAGGAAGAGATGCATCCTGACGATGTTGATGCTGAGACTTACGGTATTTTAACTATGTGATAGTTAGGTGATTTTATGCAATGTTTTTTCATGACTGCTGAAATCAATGGCTTATTTGTGAACATTCTGCTTCAACTGTAACGAATGACTTGGTAAGCTGGTGAGTTGTTTTTGTATGTTGGGTTTATATTGAGTGCCGGTTTTGCAGAGGAAAGAGATTTGGTTCAGCATAGGATGCAGATACCTGGAGAAAATGCAGTTGATGGGGAGGAAAATGTAAGGCCTGTTATGTTATTACTGTTGACATGCTTACTTTTTTTTTTGCTGTTATGATGGCATTGTGCCTACATAATGTGTTATATCATGTATGGATTGCCTAATCTGCTAGTGATTTCTAATGTGGTGATTATCAGAAATTTTAATATCCTGTCCATCCTAAATTTTTGCAATTGTTGCTCAATATTTGAAATACTTTGAAGTTGGTTCTTAAATTTGACATTTTCTGCAGAGACACAAAAGCAAGAAGGAAGTGATGGAGGAAATCATCACAAAAAGCAAATTTTACAAGGTGGGAAATATTTCTCTTTCATTAGGGCTAAAATGGTTTCTTTGTCTTTTATATTTGTTGACATCTTTTCTTCACTCCGATATTTTCCAGGCTCAAAAAGCTAGAGATAAGGAAGAAAATGAACACTTGGTGGAAGAATTGGACAAGGACTTTACTTCCTTGGTTCACTCTGAGGCCTTGTTATCTTTGACTGAGCCAAACAAGATGAAAGCTTTGAAGGCTCTAGTGAACACAAATGAACAAAGTAGTAAGGACCACATACCTGCCAGTCGTACCATAGAAAATTCTGTGCAGGTACCATTTATCCATGAACTTCCTCTTATTATAAGAACATCCTACGTTCTAACTTTCTCTTTTATGGCAGGAAAAACCTGACGATTATGACAAACTTGTCAAACAAATGGGATTGGAAATGCGTGCTCGCCCTTCAGACAGGACAAAGACACCAGAAGAGATTGCTCAGGAAGAAAAAGAACGTCTAGAGCAATTGGAGGTATGTTTGAGCGACTTTTAACTCTAGTTTGTTTTTGAACATTTGATAAATTAACTTTACATATGATGGAGCATTTTCCCACATATTTGGATAATAAAGCTCTGATCTTAGCTATATAGCTAAGCTACATTTTAAAGTGGTTTAGACTATTGTTATGGTTGAAGTGGAGGAATGGGACTGAACCCTGGGCTAGTAAACTAAATTCATGCATGAATCATGAGTGATATTTGTATTTAGTATAATATTTTGTTTTTGGGGGTGAGTGAACCTGGTGGCTCTGTAAGGTTGCTGCCTTTTTAATCCTGCGGTTGTGAATTCCAATCATGGACTATGTGCACAGGGCAAAGTTATATATATATATATATATATATATATATATAATTTAATTTTAGAGTAAACTAATGAATGCTTTTGTTCATTAATTAAGGAAGAGCGGCAGAAGAGGATGGTTGCTGCTGAAGATTCAAGTGATGAAGACAATGATGATTCAGAAAAGGCATCTGAACAGAAACCAAGATCTCTCTCTGGGGATGATCTAGGTGATTCCTTCTCTGTCAGTGAACAGATTGTGACTAAGAAGGGGTGGGTTGATGAGATTCTTGAAAGAAAAGATGAAGATTCTGCTAGTGAAGATGGTGATGATGACGATTCTGATGATTTGGGAAGCTCTGAAGATGCTGATGAAGAATCAGACGAGGGGGAAGAACATGAGAAGGATCTTTCTTTAAAAGATTGGGAACAAAGTGATGATGATGATATTGGTGCAGATTCAGAAGACGAAGATGATAGTGATGAGGACAAAGAAACAGATTCAGAAGACCCTGACGGGGTAGAAAGATTAGATGATGCGGTTCATATAAAGGCAAAGAAAAATGATTCTGTTAAAAGTGTGAAAAGGGACAAGGATTTTTCAAATGGGAAGAAGATAGATGTTGCAGGAAAACAGTCAAAAGAGTCAGAAATTCCTTATATAATTGAAGCTCCCAAGACCTTTGAAGAATTATGTACACTGGTTGATAACTATTCAAACTCCAACATTATTTTGATTGTCAATCGGATTCGGAAAAGTAATCCAATCACACTTGCTGCAGAAAATCGAAAGAAAATGCAAGTATGAAACTCATACCTTTCTTACTTTTTTGTCTAGACTTTGATATTCTCTTTTCACTTCTTGTACATACGTGTACTGCATCTATAATTGTTTTATTGGAAAAGTGCAAACTCTTGGATGTTTTCAACTTGGCGATACTTTTCCTATAATATGAACTTCAAAGTTTCATTGACAATTAATGGAAAACCTGTATCAATAACTAAAATATTTCCCTCAACTGTGTAAATATATTGGTTTTTACAGCTTTCATACTCTATAATTTAATGAAACCTAGCTTAGGGAACAAAATATTGTTGCTGTAGTTACTGCCTATAGGATCACTAATGTCTATAGTTTAGTGATTGAAAAATTTTCCCGAATTGATTTGATTCAAATATGTCATTTTTTATTGAAGGAATGCTGCATCGTTGTTTTGGTCAAACTAATGGATTAATAATACAGGCCAGATGATGACTTGTGTTATTATATATAGACTTAGTTTGTATGCATGTGCTTGTGTGCCTATATTATGTTGTAACTTTTTAATTGTTTATTCATCTAAATTTAATTATTTTTCTTTTGAAAGCCATTCATGTAGATGTACACTCTTTTACTATCCTCTTTTGGTAAGATCCTGGAATTAAGCATTGAGTATTTGAAATGTGGATATGAAGGTCCAGTTTGTATTTCCATTCATGGGGATGAAATGTATAGATATTATGAATAGCTCACTATGTATTTGAAATTTGTTAAGATTAGGAGCCTACGGTGACATCTTTAATACTTGAGATAATTTGAGAGAAGAATTGACCTAGAGATACAAGCCAACAGATGGCCGATCTGGTTATCAGTCAGGAAAATAAGTTAAGGACTGTTAGGATATTTATCCTATTTTATCATCATTATAGTGTGTCAAGGATTACCCTATTTATCATGATTATATTGTGTCTAGGGTTACCCTATTTATCATGTATTTGTGTATCAATTTATTCTTATAAATAGAAGATTGTGAGAGGGATCAATCAAGCCCTCAAGAATTATTTCTTTTCAATCTTAAGTTGGTATCAGAGCGGGTCGATCCCGCTCTGGTTTCTGTCTCGTAAT